TTTGCCGTGCACCTATGCCAGCTGTATTGGCATTGAAAATCTCTACTTCAACTGGCAATTCAATGACAACGGCACCATGCAAAAGGTAAAAGCCTTCCACGTGATTCAAAGATTTCTGTTCGGTTTTTTCTAACTTGTGCAGTCAGCAGCAGTTTTGAGATGACTGATATCTTGCTGATCCCATCAGGTCTGTGAGTCAGTGATACCTTCAGAGGGGGTGGTGCCAGATGTGACTATATTCCGGGAGCGTGTGGAGTTTGTGGGGAAAAACCATCATAATAACGTCTCCATCTTGTTGTTGAACATCACCTTTGAGGACGGGGGACAGTACACGTGTTTTGGACGCAATCCCAAAGAGCACCACAAGAACCATAGTGCCATCTTCAACCTCATAGTGGTTGACGAGTGTGAGTGGTCATGGTCTATGACATATGCCACAGTGTCATCTAATTTATTTTTCTTTCATTACAAAGTTAAATATATCCTGTTAGATTTTAAGGACATCATTGTTAAACTGTAAACCAGCTTTTTTTCTGCACCATTGAACCAGTCATTTGAATGTTCATGCTGTCACACTGATATACACCAATCAGTGCATAACACCAACAACCACTGACAAGTGAAGTGAACAACACTGATCTCTTTATCATGGCAACGGTTAGTGGGTGGGCTATATTACAAAGCAAGTGAACAATTTGTTCTCAAAGTTTATGTGTTAGAAGCAGCAAAAATGAGAAAGCGCAAGAATTTGAGCAAATTTGACAAGGGCCCAAATCTGGTGGCTGATCTGGTGTGTCAGATCTCCAAAATTGCATCTCTTGTGGGGAGTTTCTGGTCTACAGTGGTCAGTATCTATCAAAATTGGTCCAAAGAAGGAAGAGTGGAAAGCCAACAACTGGGTCATGGCTGGATTATGTGATCCAATCCAACGAATGAACTGCTGTAGTTCAAGTTGTAGAAAGTGTTAACATTGGTTCTGGTAGAAAGGTGTCAGAATACACACTGCATTCCAGTTTGTTTATATGGAGCTGCATAGCCACAGACCACCCAAAGCACCCATCCTGACCCTAGTCCACCACCGAAAATGCCAGCAATGGACACATTAGCATCAGAACTAGACCACAGAGCAATGGAAGAAGGTGGCCTGGTATGATAAATCACATTTCCTTTAATATCACGTATGCATTGCTAACCTGGGGAACGCCTGGCACCAGGATGCACTATGGGAAGAAGCCAACCCAATGAAGGCACCGTGATGCTTTGTGCAATGTTCTGCTGGTAAACCTTGGGCCCTGCCATCTATATGACCACCGACCTAAGCACTGTTGCCGACCATGTGCTCCCTTTGATGGAAGCGGTAATCCCTGTGGACTCTTTCAGTAGGATATTGCGTTGCAAAACAAAAAAAAAGGTTCAGGAGAGGTTTGAGGAGCACAGCAATGAATTTGAGGTGTTGACTTGACCTCAATTTCCCCTGATCTAAGTCCAGTTGAGCATGTGCTGGACAAACAAGTCAGATTCATGGAGACCCAAACTCACAACTTACAGGACTTCGAGAATCTGTTGCTAACATCTTGGTGTTAGATACTACTACTACTACTAACAACAACAACAACAACAACAACAACAACAA